ACCTAACAGCTCCAGCTACGCCTTCTTACTGTGATCCTTCCTGGCAGTGTTGTCAAAACCGAACCGGACATCGATCCGGATTAACAAGAGGTTCAAGGTTTATCGGATAATCTTTGATTAACAGGCATTAAAAACCGGTTACAACCTGGTGCTTTGCTCTAGATCAAAAGAAAGAACAACATATCAAGAATTGAAAAGGGTAAAAAAAATGAAAAGAATACGTTGCCGTAGAGCCCTTTTACTATGCTATAAAGTATTGGTGCTTTAATGTACAACTTGAAGTTGTACCATAACATTAAATGTATAAGTTCAAGTTGTACCATAAAGGAATTTGTACCCTTATGTTATGGTACAACTTTACAAGTTGAAGTTGTACCATCACATAAAGGTACAAGTTCAAGTTGTACCATCACATATATGTACAAAATAGGGTAGGTATAATCTAAAACTGTACCATAACATTGAATGTACAATTTTAAGTTGTACCATAAAGGTAAAAATCTATAGCACCAATGCTATATAGTATTGTAAAATTCCTCCGTTGCCGTAGGATATTAGAGGTCGTTTCTTATATTTCCATTGTCTTCATTTTTTATTTTTTAATTATTGTGTAAATGAAATAGGCAGCAGTTTTTCCCCCTAGGGCGCCCGCTATTATGCATCCGGGACCGGACTTGAGCCCGGGTCCGGGTTTTTTTGGTCCGGCCCGGTTTTCATAAGACAGCTTCCTAGGACATCTTCATTAATGATGTTGTTGCTCGTTTGGCACAATCTCCTCTCGAGCTACTCCCCCTCTAACCCTTCCTCTACCTGATAGTAAGAAGGGGTCAGTCTACGCCGTTACTAAAACCTCAGAGCACTTAAGGTTTTCCCCTTAAATGTTCACCTTACAGACTTGTGGAAGTCGTTTATACTTCCACCTTTTAACATTAACACTTAAACATGTGAGAGTTTTTATTACTCGCCACCTCAAAAATCAAACATTACAATAAACTTAAACATCTGCATTTACTTTGCGGGAGTTGTTCTTACTCCCTTCCTTTAACATTATCCTTTAAAAGAATTGTGGGAGTTAGCATTTCTCTCCACCCTTAATCTCAAAACTAGACACTCCTTAAACTATGACCCTCGTGTTCGTATCGCCGTCCTATGTCATAACCTCCTAGGAAATGACACGCATTTCGATTCGCCGTCCAGTAACCTCCTAGGAAATGGCTCGAATTTCGTTTCGTCATCCGGTATCATGCCTGATCAACTACTGTGTACCATATCAGCGTCCAGTAGTGATCCCACGACCCGAGGGTTTCCCTTCCTTACTAACACTCACTCATCACATACACCTCACATACATATCAATTTCACCTTCATTAGGTGGTGAAATACCTAAAAACTACACTTCATATCACATGCCCTCACCTTCATTAGGCGGTGAGGTACCTCAAAGTCCTGTCCTCACCTTCAATATGTAGTGGGTTATCTCAACATATAACCATAGGCCTCATACATTATCAATTCTCCTAGTCCAAGTGTCTAGGAATGGAATCCTCAAACATGCATCTCAAGTAATTATAACTCGTAACTGAAAGTTGAAATCATAAAGTTTAAACTTAAAAACTCGGCGTAGAGTTTACCCCCTTTACACTCACCTTATTGATGAAGTAGACTGACTTGACCTTGACTTCAATTTGTCCAAATCAATATCCTGACCTTCATTCCATTCGTTTGCCACTGCACGTAACACTCTCCACACTACTGTATGTTTCATATATGATGAATCCATTCCCATGCACTAACCTTCATGCACTCAAGCCAAAGTTAGACCAATCTCCCTATATAAATCCCCATGTTCCAACTAATTAGCTAACTCATACTCCACGAATGTGAAGCAAAGCCAGGCATTGGGCGCCCAATCCAATTTTAACGAACCCACCATTTTCCCCTACCAGCCCAATTCTATAATTAAGTGGACTAAGGTAATTTCACTTACCTTTGGCTCGAATCCCTGCCTCTAGTAACCTTCAGAGGAATGCAGACCAATGTACTCCTCCCTTTCTCACCGCAAGTAGTCCGTCGTCGCCGCTTCCTCCTGTCATTCTCCTGGTCCAAACAAAATTCCATAGAAATCCTGCCACACATCTTTGTGTGTTGCCATCTGAACAACACCTCTGATCCGCCCGAGAACCAATTCATGTTCCAATTAGATCATGACCCAATCGTCTTCTTGATCCGCCCAATCCTTTGGAGTTGGCTACCGCTGGGAAGAAAGTGGGTCTTTGGGGGATTTTTTTTTTTTTACCAAGTGGGTTAATTAGATGCTACTTAAATGGCGTGTGCATGGAAGACCCATTGGGGTTAGGTTTAGGGTTTAAATACATTAGAGGTGTTTCACGAATTTCATAATTACGGGTGAGTTTAATCCAGAACTCATTTAACGTCCGTAACTTCCTTGTTATATGTCGAAACTCGACACCATTTGAACCGAGAATTCACATTTTGAGTCCTCGTTGCTATTACGGTGGAATTTGACGAATTTCACCAACGGCAAACTATTTATTTCTCCCTCCGCTGGAAAAATTTCATCCCCGAAATTGAACTTGGATGAAACTGCTTTGGTCTGGATGTAACACTTCAGGAAACCAAAGGCTTGGGGGAGTTGTGAATGGAACAGTTATGACGGAGGAGAAAATCCGGAATAGACCAGTAACCGCTACAAGGTCGACAATGGCGGGGAAAAAGACAGAAACAAAAGAGAAGAAGAGGACAAACATGAGGGCCACAATTGTGCACCGAAAACTTTTAATCGTGATTGTGACCAACGATAGTTTTGCGGTGAAGTGGAGCTTCACAATAGCCGATGCAAGCTATGTTAGATGTATGATGGTTTGTCACCGATGAATTTTATCAGCTACAGGGAACTCGGCGAGGAACATCGGCAAATGCTCGACGGCAACGAAGAATCCTTTTCAACTTTAGTCGAAACTTGTTTTTCTCGTAGGGTTTGTAATTGAGTTCTTTAATTTCCATGAGAGTGTTTATTTAGTTATTTTTTAATTAACGAGAAGAGTCACCAATTAATACCTATAATAAATTGATCCATTAAAAAAAATGATTGATTCTCCCGCAAAAGCACCTATACGTAGAAAAATGAGTTTGCTTTTCTAATTTTGATGCCCATTAATTACTATACACATGGCGGGCTTGGATTGGTGCACCACGTCATCTGACCTCCCTAGTGCAGCCGGCTTACCTAAATTCTCCTCCCAATTATGGGCTTAGGATAGGGTCAGTAACCATTGGTTACTAACCTATGAGTAACTAAATCTGGACCTTTAGATTTAAGTGGGTCCAGAAAATTCAGGTCTAAGGGTTGTCAATTAAAGGCATTATATTTTCCCTAATTTTCTTAATTGGCTCTTATCTTCTTCGTTCTAACTCGGATTTCAATTTTTTTTTTTTTTGCACAGATGGAACGAGTTCGTTGTGCTCTACAAAATTATATTAGTTTTCAATATATTTCGAGAAACTTTTTTTTTTACCAACTACATACCATATGATAACTTCTTCGTTTTTAAGTCGTTTTTGAAAACGTTTGCTCAGAAGGAACGAGTTCATCATGATCTATTGGATCTATAAATTTCTGGGTGGAAAAAATACTGGATCAAAAATTACCATACTTTACCACTATGATATGTGATTGGTAACTTGTGGTAACTTGTAGTAAACAATGATGAAAGTCATAAATGACAGTTAATATACTCCTACTATCATGTATTCAACCTTCTTACCATATTGGTATGTTCATACCATTATGGTACGCTTTCTTACCATATGGTAATGACTGGTAAAAAATTATTCAATTTTTTTTTTGTACTATAAATATATCAAAGTGAATATCATTTTGAAGAGCATATTTAATCTGATTTATCTGTGCAAAAAAATTAAATTTCAACTTAAAACGAGAGAGAAATCGTCCGTTAAAGATTAAAGGGGAAAAGATAAAAGACTTTCCAGGAGAGAGAGGCTGCTGATGTAGACAGGTTACTCATGGTTACTGACCATAGAGTTACTGACCTGATCCGCTCCCCCAATTATGTGTAGATAATGTTTATTATAGTTTCCATATCTTTCCACCTTAGAATATGAAACCTTAAGTATTATTTAGATTATCAATAACATATTAAACATCTTCCGGAAATTGATCATTCTATCTTTCGTGTGTATATAATTAATCACGTCACCTTTATTAGGATGGCAAAAATATATGTAACCGTGGATATCCGCCCGAATCCGGCCTAGTCGGGTAGGGTAAAACCCGAACCCGAAGGACATTTAGTGGGTACGGGTAAAACCCGAACCCGAATATTGCGGATAATGGGTGGGCATGAATTTCTCACTATCCGACCCGAACTCGCCCGATTATACACATGCATATGTATTTTGTCTAGAAATAATCATTATTTTTCTCTAACATATTTTATATTTAGCATATAAATATAACATTTTCATGAAATTGTGTTGTTTTAGTTAATTTTCTTCATTCTAGTGAATTCTTGTCGTACTTTTTCTCTTACTTAATATAAGAATACATGTGAATGTTAACATATTGGTTGGAGTTATGAAGAGAAATTAATATCCATGGATAACCGTGGATACCCGAAACCCGAACGGGTATGAGCATGGTTTTGATTTTCTACCCGTTTCACATGTAGGTATGAATATGGGTAAAACCCGAAGTACTTTGGGTAGGGTAACGGATATGCACTATCCGTCCCCGACCCGACCCGACCCATCTACCTCTATGAAAAAAATAATTTTGAATGATCAAATTATAATTTTGTGGTCATCGGAATTTGAAGGACCAAATATTTGGGATTTTCTAGTAAAAAGCTAGAAAGGCTGATTTAAATTCCCCCGAAAATTCCGACCAAAAAAAAATCGTCCGATAATTAAATTAGATACTCGTGTCGTTCTGGCTTCTGCCTTGCCCAGTTGCCCTTTTTCCTTTTCCTCCCAGTTCCGGTAAAAATCTGCGATTAGAAAACTAAAAGAAGAAAGTCCCAAATCCATGGTGGTTTGCTATTCCCGTTTCCTCTCTAAGAAGCCTTGATCCCTAGAATTCACTCTCTCTTTGTCTCTACACATCGAGCCCGCCAAATTTAGCCATTCCTTCCTCTCCAGTCCATTTCAGCTGGCTTGCTGCGTGACGGCTCTCCATTGGAGCTTCGGCGCTTGCCCTCTTTTGCTACCGGCCGTTTGCGTGTTCGTGAAAACTGACTCCGGCGGAGGTACATCAGCTAAGGCGTAATTGAATCTAGGGTTGGTTCCTCAACTTGCGAAGCTACTAATTCGGTTGGAAGAATCGCTTCCTTGCTAGGTTTTCTGATTGCGAATTCATTCAGATTATGTAGCTGAAGCAGGATTAGTGGTGAATCTTCGCGTATTTATGAATGCCACGCAGTTTTGAATAAATTATTCTTTCTGCTTGGAAAAATTCGCTGGCTTTTTTAGTTTGTGTCCGCGTCCCCTCAGCTGGACTGTGTTGGGAAGAGCAGCAGGATTAGCGAAGCGTCCGGGAATTTCAGAATTAGGGTGAAATAGAGGATTGGGAGTCGGGGAAGTGAAGTTGAATCGGCTTTTTTTTTTCTTTTTCCATTGGGGTTTCTCTGAAGGAAGCAAGACGAAGAAGAAAGAAGAAAAGGTTGAAACTTTGTAGTGTAGGGTTGTTGTTTTGACTGTTAGCAATGGCCTCTTACAGGCCATTCCCTCCACAGTCGGCTTTTCCTCAACCTCCACCTCCTCCACCACCGAATCAAGCGCCACCACCTCAGCCACCTCCACCACCGCAGCAACCACCACACAGGCCAAACCAGTACAGTCAAAACTATGCACCTCATATGCCTCCTCCTCCTCCTCCTACATCATTCCCACAGAACTATTCACAACAGCAGAATTTTCCATATCCTCATCCAAGAGCTCAGCCGCCACCTTCCCACCAGCAATACCCCTATCAGCCTCCACCTCCAATGCCAGCAGCACCGCCACCTCCACTTCCTGACTCTTCATATCCTCCTCCACCTCCACCGCCAGGGCCAAGTCAACCACAACAGCAACAGTCATCATCTATGTATTACCGACCTTCTCAATTTTCACAGTATAATCAACCGCCAATGCAGCCCATCCCTCCTCCCCCTTCTTCTTCTCCGAGTTCCTCAATGCCACCACCACCACCACCACCCAGCTCGCCGCCTCCTCCGCCACCTCCAAAAGAAAGTGGGGTGGAAAGAGAGAGAGGGGGTTCGAGGGACAAGAGAGAGCACAGGAACTTGGAGCATGGGAAATCAAATCAGCAGAAACTTCCAATTCCTCCACCCTCCAAGAAGGCCAACGGGGCAGTAGGAAGGGTAGAGACAGAGGAAGAGAGAAGATTGAGGAAGAAGAGGGAATTCGAGAAGCAAAGACACGAGGATAAACATAGGCAGCAGATGAAAGAGTCACAGAACTCGAATCTGCACAAGAGTCAGATTGCATCTTCTCATAAGGGACATGGTTCTATTATTGGGCAACGGGTTGGGGATAGGAGGGCCACACCGTTATTGACTGCAGAAAGGAATGAGAACAGGTTGAAAAAGCCAACAACATTCTTGTGCAAGCTGAAGTGAGTATTGTTGACCTTGCTTGTCAATTTCATTTGTTTGCTTAAAGCTCAAGGTGTTCCTGTTAGAATGCTGATGCTGTTCCATAAAATACATCAACGTTGTTTGTGAGTAAATTTCTTAGTATTCAGCTGTCGATGCAATTTGTGTATTCAACTTTTACTTTTTCGGTAAATTGCTCCTTTGCTTGTAGTTAGTCAACTCAACGACCAATTTCATTATAACGTGTACTGGAATAAGTTGTCTCTGAAGCTATGAGTAGTTCTATGTTGAGTTTCATTTAATCTCATTTGAAGTTGAGTCTCAAAGTTGGCCAATGTCTTGATGTAGTGTGTCAATAAACAGAGTAAAGGTTTGCTTCTTCCAGGTTGCCTTTAGTTATGAATGAAGAAGTAAAAATAAAAATTTGTGCAATCTCTGCATTAAGTGTACACATTTCATTTGTGATTTTATATGTCGAACCCTGAAGAAAATTGATAAGACATATCGTAGTCGATTATTTGTCTAGTGTACCTTCAAGTTACTCAAGGATCATGCATGGGGTTAGATTGCAGAATTTGTGCATTGCTCCCGCCTATCTAGATCCAATTTACATATGCATCATTCGCCAAAATAAGGAGAAAAGAGAAAGAAAAACCACTAATTCTTTGTTTCTTTGTTCCGCTAAGCACTTTGATAATAACTACAAGGTTGTTGCTTTAGTAAAGTAGGTTATGCAATTTGATTTTGTTCTAGGATATAGCATGCTGTCTCCACTTTTTATTGCCATCTCCAAAGTCAAGTTGTATGAAAAAGAAAATTATGTTGATTATTTCCTATTCCTTTCGTAAACAATGTTCGTATACCTACTAATATAGTTATCCATGTGCTTGTTGAAGATTCCGTAATGAACTTCCAGATCCAAGTGGACAGCCAAAATTTATGAGAATGAAGAAAGATGACGACCGGTATGTGTCTGTACAGCCTCTCTTCGTCTTATATTTTTGTTAGCAATTTGAAATCAGTCTAAACTGCATTGATGATGTATTTCTTTAATATCTGTTTAGTACTGCATTTGATTTTAATTATCTGAGGTATCTGGGACGTTCATTGCAGCCTGACTGATTGAGCATGGAAGTAATTGAGGATATCTTTAATTTCAGAATATAGAAACCTATTCGCCTGATCACTTAGCCAACAATAAGCATCAAAGCCTAATTTGTGCTGCAATTTATGGGACGTTATGACAGCATTATTGGTAACTTTGGACAAATATGCGTGGAGAGGCCTGCAAAAAGGGGCTCAAGTTTGCAACTACACTTTCTTCTTGCTGCTTCATCTCCACAAAGTTATTGTTTGTGTTGTCCTAGAAGTAGAAGTATGTTGAAAGCTTTATAGATTTATCAAACTTCTTGATGTACAATGCTTAATGAAACTAATTTCAGGATAAGGGAATGGTTTGAGAACTGCGATTAACCGTAGTTCTCGATGTACTTCTTAATAAATGCTTGTTAACCATAGTTGTTTGTGATTAACCATTTTTGTGATGATAGAACTGTGAGTTGTCAGCAACGATTTCTGTTCCACACTACATAATCTAGTTACAATTGGATGCAATGCAGGTTTACTAAGTACATGATCACTTCTTTGGAGAAGATGTATAAGCCAAAGCTATATGTCGAGCCAGATCTTGGGATTCCTCTTGACCTCCTTGATCTCAGTGTTTATAAGTATTACTCTTAAGCCTTCAAATATTTGTCTCGTGTGTGTGTAATCTATGTGTCAGATCTGATCTTTTGTTGTACTTGTTATACCAGTCCCCCAAGTGTGAGACCACCTCTGGACTTGGAGGATGAGGAATTGTTGCAGGATGATGAGGCACATACCCCCGTGAAAAAAGATGGGATAAAAAGAAAAGAAAGGCCGACTGATAAAGGCGTGTCATGGCTAGTCAAAACACAGTATATATCTGGTTATAGCATGGACTTGAACAAGCAGGTACAGTCTATGCCACAACTCCTTCCTAGATTACCTTGATGCTGTATCATAACCTGTTCTTATGTCCTGCAGTCTAATACTGACAAGCAAGCAAAGGACCGAGAAAAGAAAGGAGCCCACCTCTTGGACAACCTTAATGATAGGTATGTTCATGTGACCTTCTTATGAGTGTGAATCATTAACTGCACAAGTATTTAGTCTTGTGTTGACGATGAGATATTGATATTAACTTCATTTTTCTTATAATACTTGGACTTCACTTTCAGGGAGAGACAGATCAAAGACATCGAGGCATCATTTGAGGCATGCAAGTTACCACCTGTCCACGCAACCAATAAAAACTTGCATCCTGTGGAGGTTTTGCCACTGTTACCTGATTTTGATCGGTATGGTGCTGCTAATGCTTTATGATTCTTGAATCATTTAATTGCAGCCGGTCTCTTATGTGGTTTTTGGTCAGTCTGATTTGAGAATTTGATGGCATAACAAGCCAGTTTTCGCCATGTTCGGTAGAAGACTGTTTATCAGATGCAATTTAAGTGGAATGATAACCATTCAAAGAGAAATTATCTACCTTCATCTCTTATCGTCTCGGTCTTGTTTTTGTGCATCTTCTGAAGTGAATATTTCCTTGTAGTGATGAGAGTTAAATATCAATAACAAATATGTGTTCTTGAATGCTATAAGCATGAGCTTGTTATGAAGAGGTTCAGTGTTTGTATTTGATGTTTTATAATTGCTTATGGCGAGTTGGGCGTATTGAAGAAAAAAATGAAATGAAGTAGAAATCAGGAAAATTGTATGAAGAAGTATGGAAATGATGTGGATAAGTTATTGTTTTAACAGAGCGTGGTTAACTTACTTCTTTTGTGTTCTCTGTTATTGCACTGGGTTAGGGCATTTTAAGATTCCAATAAACCTGCGACCTGTGATGTTGAACCAGGTATGAAGGTAAATTCACCATGGTGACATTTGACGGTGCTCCTACAGCAGACTCTGAACAATATGGCAAGTTGGATCAGTCTGTTCGAGATGACTGTGAATCACGGGTAAGTTATAGGAAATCTTGATTGCATTCCACATGAGAATAGTATGATGCCCGTCTCAGATTAGGTTTAAAAGTAATTTAGTTTGTGTGTGAGTACAGGCTGTTATGAAGGCCTGTGTGATCTCGGGCCCTGATCCGGCAAATCCAGAGAAGTTCTTGGGCTATATGGTTCCTAATCCTAATGAGGTAGTACTTCTCAATCTAGAGGATGAACCTTCAGCACAATTTGTTTTCAGAATATTAGTTTTTCTATCTATATTTTTGTCCATGTGTGGTGTGTCATTGATATCGCTACTGTTTGTCATGTCAATGCGTTTTCTATGTTGCAGCTGTCAAAGGATATGTTTGATGAAGACGAGGATATCTCATATTCCTGGATTCGAGAATACAATTGGGATGTAAGTATTGCTCAAATTTATTGAAGGCTAGCAAGTAGATCCTGAGTCTGGTTGATTTATTTTCTCATGGGTTTGACAGGTACGTGGTGACGATGGTGAACCAACAACGTTCGTTGTTTCGTTTGATGAGTCTGAAGCTCGATATCTGGTATCGTCACTGTCCTCAATATCTGTGTATTCGAAAGTGCTGTTTATGTATGTGATTGGAGCATCCATCAATATATGTCTCATTGTGGCAGCCACTTCCGTCGAAGATTACATTGAAAAGGAAAAGAGCCATAGAGGGAAGATCCAATGACGAGGTTGAACATTTCCCTGCACCCGGAAGAGTGACTGCCAGGTGGCGCCGTGAAGCAGCTTCAATCGAGCTTAGGGAACCAGGGGTATCGAAAGAAAAAGACCTGTTACTCTCTAAAAATCATCCTCCCAAGTAATATTTCTACATGTCATTTGACTTCCATTCATGCCTTTTCAGGTTAGTAGCATAAAATCAAGAGGTAACAACTCAAAGTCGAGGATCACGGCACGGTCTGAAGATGAAGAAGAAGACGAATACGATGATGATGACCTCGAAGAGAGACATCATAAGATGTCCCGGAACCAAGATATCAACCAATATAGTGCTGGCGAAGATGAATTTTCTGACGAATAAACAAGTTTTATGGTGGTGGATATAATTTTTTCGATACCAGAAAAGAGGGTGTTGGGTAGAGAAGAAGGATTGTCAGGGGTTGTAAAATAGAAAGTTGCCAGAGGAAGTTGGCTTCTTTTCTGGGTTTCTACTCTCTGCTCTTTTCGCTGAGAAATGAACGCTTCTCTCACAGCGCTTCTCATTGATATAAATTTTGCACGTTTATATGTAAGGTAACCAAGTGCTCTTACGGATCAAGCCCTTGTAACATTACTGCTAGGAAAACTTTTTTAGAAACTTGACTGAGTAAAATGAATGAATGAACTACTATTAACGCTTTATGCTTATATCGGCTTCGATTGATTTGGCTCCAAAGTTCCATAGATATAACAATGTACAGAAAATGACAGTACAATTTTGCTTCGTACGTTTACAGATTTAAATGACCGTAGTTTCTTCAGATGTAACACTTCTCATGCAATAGAAGCCCTGTTTTTCCAACATTCCAAAAAAAGAAAACAGTTAGGGTGTTGGCAATCTGGGTTAGGGAGAACTGCAATATGTTTGAAGAACTGACCATGCTTGCCGACATTTGACAGCCTCTTGACGAACGACTCTCTTTGGGTCATCTAGAGCTTTAGACACAGCTTGCAACACCTGGAAGAATTAATGCCGAGTTACTAAATCTTTTCACTAATCTAACCATTTGAGGCCCTTTAAGGCTTTAGCGTGTTATTACTTATTAGGGCCACGGCTCATTTGAAACTAACCTGAATTCTTCTGGGATATATCTTTGTGTAAGGCAGCTGAGACATAGCAGTGAGACACTGAATTGCAGTCTCCCTAACAAGCTTTAAAAAATGCACCAAAACAACACACAAAAACTGGTTCAGTGATATACCAGTGCTAAGAGAGATTTCATGCCCTAAAAATGAAAAAACAGAAGTACAGCAGACAGATTTCTCATCAAGGACAGCGTATATTACCATCCTGTGAGGATACCCGATGAGCTGAACAAGGCAATTAACGATGATATGAGCATTTTCTATAACCGCTTCTTGTCCTGCATCAACAAATAAAGAAGAGAACTTTAGGCAAAAGGCTTATCACATCTTAAACATGATCCACAATCTATAGGCTTGAGATGGAGGGAGAGAGAGATACCAGTATTATCTGTCAGTATTCCTGATAACACCAGCAAGAGACTGTACAGACCATCTTTCTCAGAAGCATAATTACTCAACATGCTCATGCCATTCACCAGCAGTGAAACTAACTGAAACACCGGTAAATACTGTGAATAGAGCAGGTTCTTGTGACCAGATCAAATTAGAAGTGTAACAAAATATATAATAAAAAACGTACCTTTTTCGCATCGTTCAATATTGCCACGAGAGGAGTTTCAGATATAACATGGCCAAAAGCCCGATAAACCAGGCATCTGAAACAACAAGAAAGGTTGTTAGTCATCATCAAATTGATATGATAATTTTTGAAACCATAGTACAGTGTAGATATATGTAATATGCATTTTTTTATGTTGAAAGAAGAACCGCATGTTACCTGGAGAGTGGTGACTCGGAGTTAACTATCAAAGATTCCAGTAGGGGCATCATGATAGAGAAGAATCTTTGCTTGTAAAGAGGGCGTACCATTGCATGAAACTCACGGTTCAAACAAAGATCTGAATCTCTCACAAGAATTTGAAATGCATCAGCGGCAGATTCTGCCACAGATGGAAAACACTCATTTGCTTCATGACAGTTATCTGATGAATATTGCTTCAATGGCAAAGAACTTGTCTTGCCATATTCCAGCAAACACTTCAGGAGAAGCATAACTATGTCCTTAACTCTCTCATGGCCACGCATGAGCAGACCTTTCCCTATCCATGCCAGTCCGGTGATGGCATCATCAGAAGAGTCCAAGGAATCTTTGCTAAAAATCATATCTATTGCTTGCTCAAGGGTAAACACCTCTAAAGTCTCTGTTACACTGGACTTCGGATTCAACTTATTAACCATAGAACCATATGCCTGAGCTGCAATAACATTACCCTTGAGGAAGAAACCCCTAAATACATGTGCAATTGATCTCAGATTTGGAACTTCAGCTTGAGGATGAAGTCCTATAACCACTGATGCAAATAATGAGAGGACCAAATCATCCCTGTTGGACAATTTGTCTATTTCTTGAGTCAGTTTGAACTCTTCCAAGGGTATTGGGAAAGAAGTTATCGATGAAAATGCACTATAAGCCTTATTAACAATTAAGTTCTGGCTTTCCACCCCACAACATGCCACAGCAAGCTTCATCACTTTAATCATTGCATCAAGAAGTTCCTGGTGCCAAAAATTTCAAGTTATCACCTTTTTTCAGAGCTTTAACGAATATTAAACTAAATTGCGAACCTATTGTGGGGCTGGAAAAACAATATTACAAGAAGAAAAACCAATTGCTTACTTTATTATTTACACAAACAGTGAGAGGCAGGCTCTCTATTGTCTTCCAGATGCTGTCAGCAAATCTTAACAACATTTCCTCAGATCCTTCATTACTCTGCATCCTGAGTTTGAACAGTGCTTAATGTGAAAAGGTGCATTGGGTTCATTATAAATAAATACAAATAAAGACCACATTAAGAATACCCTGGGAAGTATGTACCATGGGATCAGCTCGGTTGAATAACATTCCAAAAGCTGACTTGTAGTCTTGGCCAAAGTTATGTTACCTTCAACCTGTGATAGAAATAAAAGAGTTCAACATCAACAAACTGTTGGCAAGCTGGCAGTTATCTTCTTCATTTCTTATGATTCGATAAAAATGAAGTATTTAACATCCAATGAGGAAAAAGAAAGAAGTGGAAGTGGTTTTACTTACGTAAATGGCAATCAGATTGGTAGTTATAACCTCTTCCAGTTTTAGGAGAATCCGTATCATATATTTTAGGCTACTTCTGCCAACATTGGACAAGGCTTCAAGTTTGAGTCTCAATGGCAAATCAAACTCAGTAGATGACACCAAGTGAGCAAATTTCTCAACAACAACATTAATATATCTCATTTCTTTGTCTACTTCATCAAAATTTTCAATGAATCTGCCGATATCTACAAGCGCTTTCAATGCTAGCCTCCACAAGTATATCTTGTTGGAATCCTCCAGAACAACGGAAACCAATTTCCCCAAAATAACTTCGAAGGTTGAATTTGATATTAGTAAATTGCCTCCAGGCAGTAAAGCAAGCACCTGCAACCCTTTCACTGCATATGAATATCAACTGTAAGATTCAGACAGTAACATGGATTAATAATCAGAAGATAGAATGCAGAAAGCAAAGGTTTTAAGGCATAAGAGCAGGTAACAATCAGATCAGCAAGCAACCGAACACAAATAGTAAAAGCTAACATAGAGCAGGTAACTTTATTTTTCACGCGCTTACCTGCAAGACATAAATAGTCATCATTAGCAGGTTCGTTCTTTTCCAAGAAAGAACTGAAAGTCTCACTCAAAGGCCCACAGACGCGTTGAAGTAAGCAGCACCAAGTGTCATTTTGGGAATTGATTCGACACACAAGATCCTCTTTACTGATTCTCAAATCTCTGCATGCCTTGAGAAGTTCGATGGACAGATAAAGAGACCCAAAGTTTGTTCTTCTGGAGAGAACACCATTTCCATTCGAATTGCACAAATGAGAAGATGTACTATCAAGTGAAAGCTCCAACCCCTCCATCAGCCGTGGTAAGAAACATTCAACAATTTTTTGGCAGGAAGAAACAGAAGATTGTGCTGAAACATACAAGATATGACCAATGACAAGTAGTCTCCGTTTGTTATGCAAGGGAATCTTGTCATAACTATTATAACTAGAAATGGTGTTGAAAACTGTGTTTATGTCTTCATCAGAAGTTATTAAACTGACGAATGGCCCATTGTCTAGAGATGTCATCTTTTCCAACAGTCCAAAAGCTTCTGTAGGTATTTCATTCTCCATAGCATCTTGACTATCCAGAGAAAAAGATGAGGGCGGCTCTGGTCCTGTTGCATATGTTGTGTCTTTTAAAGAAGACCAAATAGCTTTAGCATGTTTTCCCATTCTATCTGTGCCATATTTTGTTGCACAGTAATTCAAGGACTTCAAAGAATCAACCTGTTGAGATGGAAAAAAAAAACAGCCAAATCGTTCAACTCAGCCCACATACTAAACCAACACTCTCATGCACCAAAAGAGCTTGCTTTTCCATAAAAGATTAGAAAGACTAACCTTTGCTGATGGCAGGGATGAGGAGAGTTTCTCAAGCAACAAAGGAACAGCAAAGGGCTCAAAAAGTGGTGTCGCAGCAAATGCCATCTGATACAAATAAGAATAAAAGAAAACACAATATAATGTATAAAGATACAACATGGAGAAGCAAAATGTATAAGCTGCAGTAGCCATAAGATATTCAGAGTTCAATGAGGAGTCCACTTTATTATTCACAATCATCAATACATGCATCCTTCACATACCATTAGTGCCGTCGAGAGATCATCCTTTGTCACATCAGTGCCCTCAGTTGTTGGCTGCGAACACAAAAGAGATAAGGACATGATAATGACTACCAAGGAAATCACATGAACAAAAATAACTATCATATTTTCTGAAGTAGAAGCACTATTAGTTGTCAAAGAGACTCCAATCACTCATTAAAGGATCTTGAAGAGCAACATGAAAGAAGTAGAACTTAGAAACTAAGTGTTATAAGCTTACATGTGTAAAATGAATGGGAAAGTAACAGCCCAAAATACTGAAGATGTCACTAATGTAGCTTGAAACTGGGCCAGAAGAATGTGGATATGCTTTCACAAGAAGTTCCACAATATGGAATGTTAGCATTAGGCACTGCGGATCCTTTTCCCCATCAATAGCTGCTAAGATTCCATAAACAAAATCATGGTCCTACACCACAATGAACGATGAAGTTAACATCAACATCCAAAAAGACAAATCTGATAAACACTATACAGAGAAAAAGAATAATAAGCATATAAATTTTAAGAATCAACAAATCATAGCAATTAGCAACAATTACCGCTCTTATCAAAATATAGCAACACACGTATCTAGCAACAGGTAGAAGAAATACTCCTAAACAATATGAACGAATTTATATACATTAAGAACTCTAATATGCTACCT